CTTCTCCCTCTCCCACTCCCCCTGCTTGTGTTCCCTCTCTCGCTGTGTCTCTCTCTGTCAAATAAATAAATAAAATCTTAAAAAAAAAAAAGTAAGTTCAGAAAAAAATCTGTAGCCTATTTCTTTTACTTAAGTAGAACTTGCGGACATGCCTTTTGCAGATTAACTTCCCCCTCTAGCTATATCCACATCTTGTTTTGTCTTTGTCTTTCTCTTTCTTTGTTAATTTTTAACTGATTTTATTTTCCTGTGTTGAATAAATTTTGTTAGGCCATTTTTGAACGCTTTTGGACTGAAATATAATACATCAGGAAAATGAGAAGCCACAGTGAAGCAGTAGTAGTAGATTAAACATAATACGTGAAATGTCTCTGAATTCTAATCTTAGGCATCTTATTAATACACCAGGTAATGGGCAGGAATAACTTTTAGACCTATAACCAACGAGCTTAATGTTAAAGCCTAAAGAATTAGAACACGCGGACATGATAAATAATGAGAAAAATTCAGAAATCAAGTGACAAAAGAGAACATATCCCAAACCCCACTGTCAGTCTCCCAACCTGTCAACCTCTTCTGGGAGGCAGTCACCAAAGACCCTGATGCTTCCTGTACCTTCTACCTGATGACAACATTTCACTGCTGTTAAAAGCACAAGACTCCAAACCACCTACCGTGTTTGTGAATAAATGCAAGTCCTTGTAATATCTGGTACATTATATTCCTTATAGCAGATTCAGGAAACAACTTATTTCTGGATGGGACAGAGGAGGACAAAGGTTATAAATCTAGATTTACACATGAAAACAAATACTCTGTTCCTGTTCTTTTGGTTATACAGTAAGAATGTAAGAAAACATTTGCTCACACACTTATGTGACCAGATCCTTTGATAATAAAGACCAAAGAAAAACAACCATTTGTCCGTACAAGACAGCTACCTTGTAAACACTGGTGTATTGGTATATTGGCAATTGGTATGTTCAGTTATGTTACAAAGAAGAAAAGATTAAACATTTTATAGTAACCACCCCCCTGCAAACCCTCTGATCTATCCTATAAAGATCTTCTCTCTCCAGAATATAAAACTTAAAAAAATTGTAATGGGGAAAATCTGAGGTCTTCCAGATGAAGTCCTCATGAAATGTAGTGGATAGTAGGGGATAGTGCTGTATTCCCCCCGGGAGGGCAAACCATACAGCTTTTCTGTTGTCAGTGACAACGAAGACCCTATTTGTTGACTGAATTCACTCAGAGAGAAGGTGGGAATGAAGCGCTCACTTGCCACTGAGAAAATATGCCCTAGAACTTCCACATGGTTCACTTTCAAAGTTCAAAATTCCCATAGCAGGTAAGTTTGTTATTAGTTTCCTCTTCCCAGCACACAAGCCCCTGAGCACTGTACAAGAAAGCGAGGGCAAGAAACCTCCAAGTTCTCCATGGAGGTCTCAGAAAGAACGAAGCCGTTACACCTTGACCTGTAATCGCTCTGCCCATATGTCCTTGTGGGAATGGAGAGCTGCGGAGTATCTGTTCAATCTCTGAGCTTCTCTGGGGGAATAACCCATTAAAACCGGAAAACGGCTACACTGAACGTGGCTTCTATGAAGGCCTCGTGAGGCCTCCAGAGTAGGAATGTGGCCTGGGCCCCTCATCTACTGGGCAGCTTTCAACAGGGCAGCCTAAGCAGCGTTAACTGTGAAAGACAAAAGCAAAAAAAGAAAACACATCCTCATTGTGATATTTACTTCTAAGGTCGCGATGATCAAACTGTACCTTTCTTTAATGAGCTGGTAAAGATTTTCCTTCATGTACTCGAAGATAAAATAAAGATGATCATTTTCCCTGATAACTTCTTTTAATTTTACCACATTGGCATGGTTGAGCTTCTTTAAAGACTGAAAGGCGAGGGGGAGAAACAGAAAAAAATGAGAGAAAATCTGTTGTTGGAAAAGAAAAGCAACTGCACATATACTTCGGAAGAAACATCTAATTCTAGAACCACAGAAGTGCCACAATCCCTATTTTATTGACAATACATGGTATTTCGCTGAAGTCAATAATCACTTTAACATAGAAAAACCATTTCGATTAGCTGACTAGCAAGTAAGTACTTGACCATTACGGTATTTCTGCCTGCTGGCTGCACCAGCCAATGGGCCAGGGCTATTTTAGGTGCACTCCTTCCAGATGATGGGATTCAATCCATGAAAACGGCCAGAAGGGAACCAATGGGGAGCTGAAGCTTTGATTGTTCTAGTATTGGAAAAGGTAGCTGCTCTGGGCCGAGATGACCAGCTAACAGTCTGTAGACCCTGTGAACAGGAAGTTGTTCACATAGACAGAGGCTGATAGCCCGAGGCTCTCAATTTCCGTCGGACTCATGTGCGTCCACGAGGCCCACACCAGTCCTCACGATGGGAGTTTTATTTTTTTTTAATATTTTATTTAATTCAAGTTAGTTAACATATGGTGTAGTATTGGGTTTCAGGAGAGGTATTTAGTGATTCATCACTCACATACAACACCCAGTGCTCCACCCAACAAGTGCCCTCTTTAATCCCCACCCCCCCCAAGACCCCCCCACTGATGTGAGTTTTAAAGGAGAAAGAATGAAGAGGAGAAATCTCACTGCAAAGCCCTCCTGGCCCCCCCACCCCACCCCCAACCCAAGGTGAGATGGGAGAAAGAGCTCTGATTCCAAGAACAGCAAAGGCAAAAAAGTCAGGCGGGTGATGAGAAACAACAGAGTGCCTCAGAAAATGGGGCGTGACCTGATTCCTCATCCTTGCGCACGTGCAGTTTTCCTGTTCCTGCCACAACCCCATGAGCAGAGCCACATGTCAACTTTTTTCTGTTTGCATCATTAGTTCTGTTCACGGTGAGCGAGTACACTTTTGTATTTGTAAGCAGCGATGCTGTTCATATACGACAGCCAGAGAAACTGTGGCTTTGCTTACCAGATGGTCAGAATTTTATTAACAGTCTCCTGCAAGGGAGCCTCAAAGGGCCACCGGCCAGTGGGATGAGCCCTTTAATTCCAAAAGCCTTTTCCTCACAGAGAAGTGACTCTGATAATAATACATTGTCAAGCCCTCCTTATCTTTGAATTTCCTTAAAAAGAACACTCCTTTTATAAACTAAACACGGTGGCAGAAGACAAAAAGGTGAACACGAATATCCAAATCTAGGACACCCAGTAATAATGCCTCCACGGAATCAGAGCTTGGGAATGCTGTAATATGATCGAGTTACTTCAAGCGGCTGGGAAGAGGGAGGAAATATGGCCAGTGAATGAGAACAAAATAAAACTCTTCTGGAGCCTCTTTCCTGAAAGAAAAACTCCTGCCAAGGAGCCTCTCTGGCAGGAAATCCTCAACCTAAGGCCGGATCCTTCTAGAATGACCCAACCAGGCTGATCAGTTGTTTTAGTTAGGTTGGTTTCCAGGTTCTCCATGAGTAACAAACACAAACATTGCTTAACTCATAAGTTTTCACCTCTGCAGCCTTCTTTTCTATTCGCTTAAAATGCATCACAGCAATGGCTGACATGTCCAGTGGATGAGCTGCAGGATGAACGCGGCAAATTCAGTCAGAGGAAAAATGAAGTAGGTTTTTTAAGCTTTTCAAGAGGAACATCCTAGGCAAGGAACAGAGTACCTTCCACGCTTGGCCTGACATTTGTTTTGTGCATGAATTACTGGTTCAAATCTAAGGGCTCACAGTTCCTGTTCCTGAGTGAGCCTCATGGACAAGTAAAATCTATATTAGTTTAATATAAAAGGGATGAATTTTGTGTGGGAGATTTCATGTGACTCATTTTACAGAGAGAAGGCATCTTATTTAGGCTCAGGAAAGGTTTACAAGGAGAGGAAGAGGCAGGACACTTAGAGCCGAGAAGCACAAATAGCAAATTAAAACCAGGTCAGCGGTCCAAATGGAGACTGTTTATCCCCATTTGGATGAAGGTTCTTAACAATTTAACAAAACTACAACATACTGCTCCTCAAGGGTACCCAGGGGCATGAGACAATGTCCCTGCCTGTAAGAGGCAAATGGCCTAATTACGAAGAGAGGGCACGAATACAAAATCCACAGAACAGAATGAGGGAGATTTTATTAGGGTCAAGAGAATGACAGAGACAAGGAACGTCAGAAATGTTTCAAGAAGGAGTAATCAGCAAACCCCAATGGTCAATGAGTGTACCATCCACAGTGTGACTTGAAGGAAGAATAGCACCTAGACAAGTCAGTGGGAGGGAAAGGGTGTGTCAGGAGAGAAGCCCTTCTTAGGTATGGGTGTGGGAGTGGAATGGTGTGGTCTATGCCTGAGGGGTGAGAACCGCCCCAGTCTGGTTCTGAAGGAAGCTCATCCAGAAGACTCTGACAGGGGAAGTGGGCAAGGGCATACACTGGTTGGATGCTAGATGCATATGCTATCGAAGCCTGACAAACGTGGGTCTGAAACCAAGCTTTGTGGCTTAGACTTGCATTTACCTCGAGCAAGTGACTGAGTCTCTGAGAATCCTGTGCTCAGCAGCAAACCCAAGGTACTAGCACTTTCCTCACGAGGTAGTTGTGAGGATGAAGCAAGACAACGCAGATGCTGTCTGGCTTATAGTAGTGTATCAGGAAACGGTAGGTAGTGTGTGATCGGCTGAATGTCCCCGAGATCGTTCTGGGGACAGCACATGGGGTGCATGAGATGTGGAGGAAGAGAGGTCACACAGACCACCTGCAGTGAGCTGCAGTTTCTGGGTGAATGGGTAAATGATCATTAACAGAGGAGGGAGAAAATAGGAGCACTGGGGGAGGCAGACATTCTAGAAAATTCAGGTGCTGATATCCACGAAGCAGTTGGATATGTGGGCCTGAAGCAGGCATCAGCAAACTTTTCTTAAAGGGACAGAGGATAAATATTTTAGGCATTCTAGGTCATACGGTCCCTGCCCCAACTACTCAACTTTGCCATCAAAATGTGAAATCTGCCAATAGAAAATATGTAATCAAGTGGGCGAGTGTTCCAATAAAATTGCATTTAAACAGGACATGGCCGTTCATCAACCCCTGGTCTAGTGCTTACAAAGGATAAAAGATTTGATGAGACCACTGAAGTGAGGGAAGTAAATGAAATTACTCGGGAGGAGATTCAGAGCAAAGGAGAAAATTGCTAAGGACGGAATGTGAGAAATCATCGCTATTTAAAGGGTGAACTACAGAGCACTTGAAGAAAGGCAAGAAAGAGGTAGGACAGCGAGGCCAAAGCAGAGTCACACAGCCCTGGGAGAGGACAGTACCCAACACCGCAGGCAAGAAAATGCCTGAGAAAACGAACTGGAGGGGCGCCTGGGTGACTCAATCGGTTCAGCGTCTGCCTTCGGCTCAGGTCATGATCCCAGGGTCCTGGGATCGAGCCCCACGTCAGGTTCCCTGCTCAGCTGATCAGGGAGGATGGAGGGTACATATATTTATTTAGAGATGGAAGAGAAGGAGCCAGTGGAAAGGAAGAGCTTAAAGAAATGGGAAGGTTCACAAAAGCCAAAAGGTGGGAGCAGCCCAAGTGTCCGTCAACGGGTGAATGGATCAACAAAATGTGGCATCTACCTAAAACTGAATAGGATTTCGCCTTAAAAAGAAGGAAACTCTGACGCAGGCTATGATATGAACCTTGAAGACACGATGCCAAGTGAAATAAGCCAGGCACAAAAAAGAAATACTGCATGATTCCACTTATCTGAGGCACCTGGAGTAGTCAAATTCACAGAGACAGAAATTAAAAGGGTGTTTGCCAAGGGCTGGGGGCAGAGGGGTCACGGGCGTTGTTGTTTAACGGGTTCAGAGTTTCAAGTGTGCAAGATGAAGAGTTCTGGAGGTGGATGGAGGTTCTGACCATACAACAATACCACTTAATACCACTGAACGGTGCTCTTACAAATTCGTAATATGATAAATTTCATGTATGTCTATTTCATCACACTTGGGAAGGGAAAGGACATTAGTGGGAAATGTGTGAGATTGGAATAAATCTGTGGTTTAGTTAATAGTACTATACCAAAGTTTAAAAAAGTATTATTTACTAATATAATAGCAATCTTCTACTTTGAGCTCTTAGCTGTATAATGTTGTCATTTGCCCCCTTTTGTTAGCATCAGTGGAACAATTCAAACAGAATGACTAACTCTATCAACCATAAATCTAAGCAAGTATAAAGCTATTTTAATCAACCATACATAAATTTTTCCCTGGTGTATTAATAAATACCTTAACCTCCCGAAGGTTCATGCATTCCTCCCAGGAATAAAACTTTCTTTTCATTCTAAAAGAGAACAAAGAAACAAATAGCATGCTTATTCACAGTAACAGGCTAAACTTTCTTGTTTAAAAATGTTCTCATTCTGGGCGGGTTGCAGGGGGGGAGGTGGAAAAACAAAAAACCCAAAACACTAAAAAACCCAAAAACCCCAAACCCAAAACAAACAAAAAAATATGTTTCATTCTGAATCTAATGAACAGTGCTGAAAGCCGGTTTCAATTTCTACCAAATATTATACTATCCAAAACATTCATTTTAAAATCTGGTAGTGCGATCAATCCTACATCACAAAATTTCCCAGCAGAGATGGTGCAAGGCAGTGCAAGGAGAGTTCTCCAGCTGTCTTGCTCCATCTCTAATTGGCTAACCTTGTCCTGCAGGCTAATCCCTCAGGCTTATTTGATCTAGACTAGAGCTCTCCAACAGAATTTTCTGTATTGATGGGAACACTCCATGCTGTCCAGTATGGTAGCCATGAGACTACACAAATCTGGGTAGTGAATACTTGGAATATGGCTAGCATAACATAGGAACTCAATTTTTAAGAAAACTCACATTTAAATGCCCTACGGTTACTTGCCACCCTGTTGGACAACACAGTTCTAGACCCTCTGGTGCAGGGGTTGGCAAACTATGGCCCACGGGCCAACTCTACCCCACCATCTCTTTCTGAGCAGCCCATAAGCTAAGAACGACGTTTGTATTTTTAAATAGTTGGGGAAAACACATCAAAAGAAGCGTGAGATCTCATGACGTGTAATAATTTTATGAAACTCAAATTTCAGTTCCTGTAAAGAGTTTTATTGGAATACAACCACACTCATTCATTTATACATGGCCTATAGCTGCCTTTACACAATCACAGAACCGCGTTGGGGCAGGACCATGTGGCCTGCACAGCCTGAAATATTTACTGTGTGGCTCTGTACAGAAGAAGTTTGCCAACCCTGGCCTACAGCCTGAGGGGAGAGAAAGACAACCCTATGGGCTAACCAGAGACCGAGTTTCAAGGTTCTATCTTACATCACACTGCAATCACATGGTCTCATTGGGCTCTTCCAGTGGCCCCGGGTTAATAGATGGGACAAGGGAGGAAATGAAGACACAGAGAAGTCATGTGATTTCCCCCAAGGTCTCCCTGCTGGCTAATAAGAGGTCAGCTTCCATCTCTCCACCTCACTCTCACACTCTGTTGCCAATGTCACACTGTCTGCTGGTGGAGTTCATGCCCCAAATATTCTTTAGCCTCTCCTGTGTGTGGCAGGGGCTTTGTCAGGCACTAGGGATACAACGGTGAGAGGGGTATCCCTCGTGGACCTGACATCGCAGCAGGAAGGCAGGCAATTCATCATCACTTTCTGTGCTGAGTGCTGGGAAGGAAAGGCACAGGACACGGTGAGAGCAGACCCCAAAGTGACCTAATTTAGTCTGGGGTATCAGGAAGCACTTCTGGAATGAGGTGATAGTTCAATTAAGACCTGAAGGATCAGTAGAATTTAGCCCCTGGAGGTAGGAGGCAGGGAATATCAATGTGAAGACTAGGGGCAGAAAGGGATTTAGTGAGTTCAAGAAGCTGAAAGGCCAGAGTGGTGGGAATGACGTCGGCAGGGGGGTAGTGGCAGGAGATCAGACTGAAGAAAACAGGGAGCGGCCAAGTGATGCAGCAAGTTGTAGGTCACATTAATAACTGGAGGCTTGATCCTAAAACTGATAGGACGATATTACAAAATGCTATAGTTTGGGTTCCTCTGAAAGCAGAGCCTGAGGCAAGGACCCGGGTGCAGGCAGTTTATTTGGGAGGTGATTCCAGGAAGCCAGGGCAAGGAGCAGGGAAAATGGGAAGAGAGACATGGGAAACCCATTAAAGTGTATGTTACTGAGCTGATACCCAGGTGTGCAACTGGGGCTCAGTCCTGCTGGGGGCCTTCTATTGGCCCGTGTGCAGAGTGCCCTGGTTGAGAGTCTCCCATGTGCTTTTTTTTGGGGGGGGGGTGCTGGTAGTGGGCATAGAACTATACACCACAGCACACTGAAGTCAGGTGGGACAAGGTGATGAGATAGGGCAGCAGGGACACAGTGTTTGGTGCAAATGATTTTAGACAATTAGATTCATGTGTTTAAAGTAATCCCTTCATACTGGAATGGAGAGGGGTAGAATGGAAGCCAGGAACCCTACAGAGGAGATTATTCTAGTGGTAGAAGTGGTAAATGATAATGGGTTGAATGGGAGGTTAGCAGGGAGAATCCAGAGAAGTAGGTGGATCAGATAAATATACAGTAGTTGGAATCTATGGGTCTAGGTGGCCAATGCTGGGCATACAGAGGGAGGTCAGGAGGATGTGCAGGTTTTGAAGGGATGGTAGTGTCATTCATAAGATAGGGAACACTGAAGGAAAAACAGGTTTGGGGCAAGAGAGGGAAAATGTTGGATAAAAGCTCAGTTTGGGATATGATGAGTCTGAAGTGTCTACAGGGCATCCAAATGGAGATGTTGAGAAAGTGACTGGATATAGATGGGTATAGCAGGCAGGCCCTAAAATGGTCCCTGAAGACTCCCACCTCCTGGTATTCAGAGTCTGGGATAACACCTCTCCTTCAATGACTTGCTTCTAAGCAATGGAATACAGCAGTGTGAGAGGAGGTCACTTCTGGGATTAGTTTACAAAAGCAAAAAGATGTGACTTCCACCTTGGTAGAAGCCTCTCTCATGGCCTTCATGGTCCCCACATCTTGAAGCAAGGTGCCATGTTGTGAGCTGCTCTTTGGAGAGGCCCACATGGCAAAGGACTGAGGACAGCTTCTAGCCAACAGCCAGGAGGGACCTGAGGCCCTCAGTGCAACCACGAGGGAGGTATGGAATGCTGCCCACAATCACGTGAGTAAGCCTGGAAGTGGATCCTTTCCCAGTCCAGCCTTGAGCAAAGACCCCAGCACTGGCCAACACCTTGACTGCAGCCTCATGAGAGACCCTAAAGTAAAGAATTCACCTAAACCATGCCCAGACTCCTGACTCACAGAGATAATAAGAGATAATAAATGTGTGTAGTTTTAAACCACGAATTCTTGGGGTAAATGGTTATGCAGCAACAGATAACTAACATAGTGGACTCAGACTGCAAAGGGCAAGTGGAGTGGGGCGATGAAGATAGTGGTCCCCAGACCACCACATGTGTAAATGATCCAAATTAAGTCACTTAACTTCTCAGAGTTTCAGTTTCCTTTCCAATAAAATGTTTCTAAACCTGCTCGTTACTATGTCACAATAGGATAAGACACCTTGAAAAGGTACTAGTGCAATAAACAAATCTAAAGTAGAAATGTGTTTAAGACCTCTGCCATGAACATTCCAGAGCCAACAGTCACCTAGCCCACAGAAATCATTGTCTAAGTCTTTCCTCCATGCCTCCCACCCACCCCCCTTTAGAAATTTTTCAATGACGAGACATGCAGAGGGTAGAGTTAAAACAATGTTGACAATGTGTTGTTGAGGATGAACTGATGTGAGTGAAGAATAAAACTTACTTTTTAATGGCAATCAGTTCCCCAGATTCAATGCTTCGTCCCAGTAGGACGGAACCATAGGTTCCATCCCCGAGTTGCTTGATCGTTGTGTATCTATTCATGGTGTGCCCGCTCAGGCCGGACACTCATCTCAGGGCCGAGGCGGTGCAGTCCTGCAGAGGCGGCAGGCCTCCCCAGAGTGTAACCAGATTTTTCGATGGCAGCACCAGCACAAGGTATTCAATAGAACGTGACTATCTCCCAAATACATATTTTCAAAGATCAGTCTTCTGCCTGTAGAGAAAAATGACAGACAAGGTAACTACTAATGTGCATTTTAAGTTTGTGTATTTTTATTGTCTAAATCAGGGGTCAGCAAACGAAAACCAACCTCCCCCCTCCCACCCGCCACCTGTTGTTATAAATAAAGTTTTATTGGAACACAGTCATGGCCACTCATTTGCATATTGTCTACAGATGTTTTCACACACAAGAGCAGAATTCAGTAGTTGTGACAGACTATATGGCTTATAAAATCTAAAATATTTATGATCTGGGTCTTTATGGAAGAAGTTTGCCAACCTCTGGCCTAAATAATGCTCTTTTAAATTTTTATAAGATGAGAGATACCATTCTTGGAAAGTGAATTTGTCACTGACTCAGAAATGAATCAGTTGCAATCCAATGCTTTCTGCTGACCAGCGACTGAGGGCAAACATTGCATGAAAACTAAGGTCGACAAAACTGCTGAGCTACAAAAATCTGTACTAAATATACTGTGTTCTGTGTAATTCTGCTACGATTTACAATGTAACAAAACCAAGAAATGTTAAAATTAAAGTTCTCCTGATACAGAATTTACATGTACCAAACGAACTATTTGTGGGTAGGCATCAACAGTATTATTTTTACTACTAGACATACAGAAGCTAAACAAAGAACAACTAATTTCTTTTTTTACTTATTTTTTATTTATTTTTTAAGATTTTATTTATTTTTCGACAGAGAGAGACAGCGAGAGAGGGAACACAAGCAGGGGGAGTGGGAGAGGGAGAAGCAGGCTTCCCGCTGGGCAGGGAGCCCGACGCAGGGCTCAATCCCAGGACCCTGGGATCATGACCTGAGCTGAAGGCAGACGCTTAACGACTGAGCCACCCAGGTGCCCAGAACAACTAATTTCTTTCTTTTTTTTTTTTTTTAAAGATTTTATTTATTTGACAGAGAAAGACACAGC